CGGGGGGGCCGAGGTCCGTGCTTCCCCCCCCGGGCCCTGCCGCGGCTTCGCGGGGCCTTCTGCTCCGGTGAGGCCAAGAACCTTCACCCCTCGCACCTACCTTGTGCAGATCCGCCACCCGAGGTGCGGCGGCAAACTTCTCGCTTTTGCCTTTCCAAAGGGCAGGAGCTGGCCGAGGCAGTCCCAGGAGCTGGCAGGGAGAAGAGCCCCTCAGGCAAGCGCAAAAAGCAGAAATAAGCATCACACCAAGTCCCCCCCCGGCTCCCCCCCCCCCGTTAGAGAGGAGGCGGTTGAGGTACTGCAAGGGGTGGAACAGCATTTACAAATGGAGAATCCAAGTAGAAAAATAACAATTGTTTTATTAGGAAGTTTAAGTCAAACTACACGAGAAAGCTGAAGAAGAAATATGTTTATTCCAGATTTCCACCCACCACAACACACTCGGCAAAATACAGAGCGACGACTTGCTGAAACTAGCGGGAAGAAGAGGGAGGACATCGCTTGCCCCAGCCCAGCAGACCCAGGACAGGGATGCCCTGCCCAGTGTCCAGCCCTCATTCTCCGCGTCCTTCCATGCTTTCCTTGGAAGCTGCTCATTTCCTCCTCCCAGGGAGACCTTGAGCTGCGTTTCTGCGCAAGGCCCCCATGGTTACTGGAGCTCTCCAGCATGGTTTGTGGTGTTGCACAGCACGATGCCCTGGGGGTTTGCTAATAAAACAGTCTTGGCCCCTTCCTGTGGTTGGGTTCCTCCTCCCTTGCAGCTCCAGCACCCCCAGCAGAGGCAACACAGAGCTCACAGAAGGTGCTGGCTTTTGCTAGTAGCAAACCCTGTTAATTGCCAGAGCCACGTTCCCAACAGTCATCACAAACTTCCAGCTTCCAAGTAACAGCCCCACTTTTTACTGAAATGTCTCTCCTTCACCAAAGACTTTTCTTATCTCTACTTTACGCGTTCTGCTTTCCAGTACCTGCCTTTGCTCAATAATTAAGCTGAGTCCAGCCTTCCACATTTATCAACATACTCTCTGTTCTGGGGACAGAACAGCACTTACACACTCATTGAATTTTAGACTTAGTGAAGCTTCCAGCTTGAAAGCCCAGGAAACTGGTAACCTCTACCCACAGCAGAGGCACGTCAGCAGGGATGCCGATTTGGAGTTGCCGGCACGGCAGTAGAAAGCGTTGGCTAACAGTCTAGCATAGAGGTGGCCTACCCGCCCTCGATACACACTACCTTGTTGTACAAGTACTCAACTAGTTTAGTAATGCGCTGCAGACTACATCTCGTCTCTACCGAGCCCTCAAGAGATCATCTAATGTCCCACCTTATTTCCTAGTCTAGACCACGTTTAGGACAGCCCAAGGGCTGCTTCGGAGGCATCCGGATGGAAGCAGAGCCACCCGCCGAGGCACTCATGCAGAGCAGCTCAGCTCACAGCTTGCTGTAGTGTGAGCATTGCATGACCTGTCACCGCGTCAGAGTTGATCAAGGGCCTGAGACCATGCTCCTCGGAACCTGATGGTGAGGGATTCCAAAAGAGAGAAAGCCAAGGAAATATAGACACCCTTGAGAGCAAAGCCATGCCCGGTGCTTTGGTTTTGGCACTTCGGATGGAAGATGCACACAAAGGTTGTATGTGTTTCAGTGAACACTTCTTGTTCGATGAAGAAAAATACTTGCATTGATTTGCTCCAGGCCAACGTAAGTATCAGAAATTGTTAAAATCTATGAATAGGGGCCAATGTTCACATCAGCTAATGCGGCCCTGGCACATTTGTCGGATTAGGCAATGGATTTGCTCTTCCTGCCTGTGTCTCAGAGGCTGCTAAGCAGCATATCACCAGGGACCAGCTCCCTTGGCAAAGCCACGCAGCAAGGACGATGCCGACGGCCTTGGCAGGACGCAACTCCCTGCAGTGCTGCCTCTCGCCCTCCCCTCCCTGCCTAGGCAGGGGGCATTTCAGGCAGCTTATTCCCTCTTAAACTGAGTGTAGGAAGCAAACCCAGCTGCTGGAGCACGGGAAGAACAGTTTTCCCCAGGTTGGATGTAAAAAAAAAAAAAAAAAAGAAAAAAAAACAACAAAAAAAATATTCAATACAGCTCTCCTGTACAGCACAGCTTTCTTTTGTGTTTGTCAGGCAAGCAGAAGGGCTCTCCATCCCCAGTACCGCACTGGCATAAACGGGTGAGCTGTAGCTGACAGCAGGGTCTTCCTAGTGACAACTGGAAAGCTGCTGCTGTTCTACTGCTATTGATCTAAGCAGAATACAAAACACCTGAAGTCAGCAGGGAAAAATAGCTGCAGTTGGAAAAGAAACTGTGGGGGGGGGGGAACCAGAGGGGGGGGAGCAGGTAAGAAGTTCTCCATGCATAAAATTAAAGGCCGGGCTTTTTATTGCAGCTATTTTGCCTGACTACAGTACTGGATCGATGTACAGAGCAGGAATACTGCCATCATTGTTTTTGCAATCTCTCATTTGACGAGAAACAAAAGATTTCACTCCCACTTCTGCCAGCGCCTTGCCACCGATGGCTCCTCTCTCCCGTTGTCAGCGAGGAAGCAGCTCTACCTCCCATTGGCCCGAAACGTCCTCAGGACAACGATCTTTGCCCGCTTGCCGCAGGTGATGCCAGCGCATCACTCGCACCCCAGAGCCCTTCCGAGAGGAGAGCCTGCCTGCTCTGGGAATGAACAAGCCCAGCCCGTGCACCCCTTTGGGTTTGTCCAAGTGCACGCCACCATGGCTATAGCTGGAGCTCAGCCTGGAAGGCATTCGGTTACCTCCCCTTTCTACCTCGGCTCATCTCTGAGCCTGAAAGAAGCAGGCACCCAGCCAGCTCTTGTTCAGTAAGCGGCTTCCTTGGGAACCTTCCCTGTTGTGACAGCTCAAACATTACAGGGACTGCCAGAACCAAACCACTCAAGGAAGAGATCCCCTCCCCCTTCTGACATTGACAACCCAGGCAGCAGCAGGCAACACCGCGTGCAGGAGTCTATTTAAAATGTCACCGAGGCACAGGCTGATGGAGGACACCAAGGCGTCCTTCCCCTGCCCTGGAGGTGATGTTGGGTGGGTTGCTTTGCGTTTTTGTTGTTCCTTTCCTGTGGTCTGTGCCTGCTGCAATCTGACAGCCTCTAATCGCTCAGCATGAACCAGAAACGTCACTCTCATCTGTATTGATGGTGGTGCTACTCACAAGCGCAAGAACACACGCAGGCTCAGCCACCCACCCCAAAAGCAATGCCCCTAAGCCATCTCACCCCTCAGCTTTCACCTTCAGGTCTTTTCTGCTTCCCTGTCTGCTTGAAAGCTGCATTTCCTTCTCTCTCCCTTTCCAATTGACAGAGTCAATCCACAGGGCAACTTTTATGTTTAAAGGGAAAGCCACCGGTTTCTCAGGGACAAGGGGCACAAGGTGGAAGAGCTCAAAGAGCCAAGCGCAGGTCATGGTGATTTCTCGGCTACGAGATCCACGAAAAGGCCTACCCTCTCCCCTTGCCAGCCCCAGAGGGACTCCCACTCAGTCTCACCTCCTGCAGCAGCAGCAAGGCCTGAACAAACCACAGGGAGCATAACAGGCAGAGAACCGAATTCCTCGCTGCACCAAGAGCAGGCAGTTTTCTGACATCCCGCTCCCATTTTGCTCAGAGACAGGAGCCATCTTGAGCCCTTTGCAGGCTTGTTCCTGGCACTGCGAACAGTTACATCAGAGAAAAGTGACCTCATCAGCAGGGCTGCGATTGTTCCTCTCCCCACATCCCACAGCACAGCGCTCCCCTCCCTCCTCAACCCAATTCCCTTACCCAAATTACAAATAAAACTCATTTTCTGGGTCCTTCTAGCCATTTCCACCCACGACTCAACCACTCTGCCTCCCCTTCCACGCTTCCTCTTCATCCAACCATTCAGTCCAAGATCTGACCTAATTAGCTGATTGCCAATTCCAGCTGTGGATGCGCCTTGCTTTGTTAGAGCAGAGCTGCCTTTTAAAGCAATAATTTCTATCAGACAGGACTTGAAATGAAGAGGCCTCAGAAGGCCTTCAGCTGAGAGGTGTCCAACGGGAATTTTTAGAAGAGTTCAAATGGATTCTGACAAGAGCAGACTGGTTTTCTAACTCTTACTTAAGGCCTGGAGTTCTGCAGCTTGGAGGGCAAGAAAGTATTTGGGAGGTTTTTGCAGCAGGAGCCCAGAGGAAAAAGTGAGTTTGTTATATCCTTTAGGAAGGGATCATCTCTGGGTCTAACTGTTGATGTCCTACAAACCACGCTGAGTGTGAGACACTTTAAGGCAGTAAGTGCGTTGTTTCTGACAGCGGAACCATGGCAGCAGATCAGTCGGTAACACGGTGACTCAGGCAGGTGACCCTGGGTCTGCCCAGCAGCCTAAAGTCACCAGGGCTCTGCTTCTCAGGGCAAGAGGCTATTTAAGAAGAGCTAAAAGGCAAGCATGAGCTGCTTCCCCTACTCGGCTTTTTGCCTCCCCGCCCCCCCAAAATCAGCAGG